TGTGACATTTTCAGGAAGCTATATACAGCATTCCGTCGACCTCCTTATCTACCTGCATTGCATAGAGAAGCATAGAGACCTAGTGATGATGTCTATGGATCTAATAAAAAAGGTATGAAGAAAAGAACCGTCAAAAGACCTGTGTAACAAGGTAATGGAACTTTATAAAGATGGAAAAGCATATGAAAAGGTATCCAAAGCCTTGAATATGCCAGTCATTACTGTTCAATCACTTATTAAGAAGTGGAAAATGCAGGATCTCTTGATACCAAGCCAAGGTCAGGTAAACCAAGAAAGATTGCAGCCACAACTGCCAGAAGAATTGTTCGGGATACAAAGACAAACCTACAGGTAACCTCAGTAGAAATACAGGCTGCTCTGGAAAATGACAGTGTGGTTGTTTCAAAGAGGACAATGCTAGGATACGTGAACAAAAATGAGCTACATGGTTGAGTTGCCAGAAAGAAGCCTTTACTGTGCCAATGCCAAAAAAAAGCCTGGTTACAATACGCCTGACAACACCTTGACACGCCTCACAGCTTCTGGCACACTGTAATCTGGAGTGACGAGACCAAAATAGAGTTTTATGGTCACAACCAGAAGCACAGTGTTTGGAGAGGGGTCACCAAGGACTATACCATTACCACTGTGAAGCATGGTGGTGGCTCACTGATGTTTTGGGAGTGTGTGAGCTCTAAAGGTACAGGTAATCTTGTGAACACTGAAGAAAAGATGAATGCAGCATGTTATCAGAAAATACTGGCAGACAATTTGCATTCTTCTGCATGAAAGCTGCACATGGGAAGCTCTTGGACTTTCCAGCACAACAATGACCCTGAGCACAAGGCCGAGGTGACCCTCCAGTGGTTACAGCAGAAAAGGTGAAGGTTCTGGAATGGCCATCATAATCTCCTGACCTAAGTATCGTCGAGCCGCTCTGGGGAGATCTCAAACGTGCGGTTCATGCAAGACAACCAAAGGCTTTGCCTTGACATGGAGGCATTTGGCCAAGATTAATGGACAGCTATACCACCTGCAAGAATTAAGGGCCTCATAGACAACTATTACAAAGGACTGCACACTGTCTTTGCTGCTAATGGGGGTGATACACAGTATGAGGGAACTAAAGGGATGCAGAACCAACATGTTTTCAGCATTTGGTTTCATATATTCATTGGTCTGGGTGGATTCTAAACATTTTTCAGTTTTTCCAAAAGATTGCTACATATTCGATATATTATTAAATCAGACGGATTTGATATTTTCAAACACTAGTCTGATACAGGGGGCATTTCATTTGTTTACTTGTTGCCATGTTCTGTTTTATGGTTGGGCCATTCTGTTATGTACTTCAGCTGAATATGAATCCCGTAGGAAATAAAAGAAATGTGTTTTGACTGCTCGTGTTTTTTTTAAAATGGTAAAACTGTATATTACCAATTCTCCACTAAATTAATGGATTCATACATTGTTTTGGTGGCACACCAAAATGTCCAAAAAATGGATGTACACCATTTTTGAGAACACCGCAAACTACAATACACAGGTGTACATTACCATGTGTTGGGGTGCACTTCACCACATGTGCGTTTGGGCTGCCTTAGTGCATTGGGGTGCCATTCAATTTTTCTGCACCAGAAAGGTGTGACTGGATTCTGACTGTCATCCCAAATTGGACAATGAATGAATTGAGGGTATTAAAAAGCTCCTGTTTGCCAGAATGCCTTGTATGTATTTGCACTTGGCTAGTGTTTGAATGGTGAACCCTAAAATTCTTCTTGCACAGAGGTCCTGGCGGTGCTAATGTTTTGTGCAATATGCATTTGTCTATGAAAGCCAACCGTTAATCCTCATCTAAATCAATGCCCCAGGTCTGTGATACATTGATGAAACCAATTTCCCCAACCAGGGATTGTCAAACAAATGGCATGAGAGGTTGGGCACTGCCCTTGGGTGTACCAAAGCAAAACATTAAGAATTCAGTTTGGTGGGAAGTACAGATTTTGGTAATGCTTTAAGGTCAGCATTAAAAATGCTAAATGCTAAAATCTTTTAAATAACATGCCTGGGGGATGCCCTGACCCTGCCTGTGAAGCAGTGCATCCATATCCGCCAATCCATCTCCGCCACCCCCCTCTGCCAGTCCCTCCACTGGCTTCCGATTGCGCAACGGATCAAATTCAAAATCTTAACACTGACGTACAAAGCTGTCCACCATACTGCCCCGAACTACATCACTGACCTAATATCCAAGTATCACCCAGCACACACACTCCGCTCCTCACAAGACCTCCTTCTCTCTAGTTACCTGGTCTCCTCCTCCCATGCCCGCCTCCAGGACTTCTCCAGGGTGTCACCCATCCTCTGGAACTCCCTGCCCCAACCCATCAGATTATCACCTACTCTCCTCTCCTTTAGGCGCACCCTGAAAACCCATCTCTTCAGGGAAGCCTACCCCACCCCCTGCTAACCTGCCGATCTCCTCCACTCTTCCTACCACTCCATCCCCCACAGCTATCTCCTCCTGTACCACTATCCCCTCCCTCCTAGATTGTAAGCTCGAAAGAGCAGGGCCCTCGATCCCCTCATGTTTTGCATTGTATTGGTATTGTTCTGTCACATGTTCTGTCCCTCTTTGTAATGTACAGCGCTGAGCGAACTATTGGCGCTTTTATAAATACTGTATAATAATAATAATAATAATAATAATAATAATGTATACAACCTACTACAGCAAGAATGACATTTATAAAGAAAAAAAGGTCAGCAAAATGACAGATTTGACCACTTCATTCAGTTTGTAAACAAACAACCATGGATCCCATTCATCTCTTCTAGACTGTTATCCTAGATGAGAATCTGGTATAGATGTTAATGGAAAACCCCACAAAAAAGACAGCATGGGGTTCCATCCCCCCACCCACCCCCCAGAAAATACATACCAGACCCTTTTCATTGATGAGTCTGGTGAGGGTGGCAAAAGGGACCCCACATATGCTTTATAAGGGAAACCCCACACAAAAATCAAAATGTGGAGTCACCTCCAAAAATCCACACCAGACTTTTATCCAAACATGCAACCTGGCTGGCCAGAAAGGGGATAGGGATGGCATTCACCCCCCCCCCTTTTCCCCCCACACACACACTTCTGAACAGGCCACATTCCCTCAACATGGAGGTAGTTTGCAATGCAGATCCACATGAAACACAATGAATGATGTCAGTTGACCCACCAAATAAATAAAAAAAATACACGCCAACATTTTTTGATCCCAATCACTACTCTCCCACTAATGGTCGTAGATGACATCTAAGCAAAGACAAATGGAGGGGACGGGGTCTTTCCATTGTCATTGACCAAATATAGACATAACCCTTCATTGGGTAATCCAGCAGCCTCAGTCATGGGACACAGAATGGGTGCGCCCCCACTGCTCCTCGGCAGCAGTCTTTGCACTCATCCTTATGGTGGACGTCAGACAGAAGATAAAAGAGACATGGGCTGGTCAGCACACATTGGGCACCGAACTATAGTGATCAGGGATCCAAAGGCCTTCACAGTGGCCGTACTGGTAACCTCAAAGGATCACACTTGCAATCATTTTTCCTTGCCTGCTTCCAGTGAGAGAAAGCATTTCAGTGATCTTGGTGGCACCAAATTAACCCAGAAGGACTTCATAATTGGGCATCCTTTGACTCCTAGAAGATACTCCATGGGCACTTCCAGATTGTCCAGAGATGTTTTCTCAAGGACTGGTCTACCATCCTGCTTCAGGGTTGTTGGCTTGGCTGATGAAACCCAAGCATTTGGCCATTAGTACCCTGAAAGCCGAAATGTCTCGGCATTGGCCATTCTCTTTTAGAGACTGCTGGCTACTCATTCTCTAGTAAATCGCCTTTATTCAAGGGGTGGCATACTTCGTTGCCCCTGTTTGTTCACCTGTCTCATCTTGGAAGCTCAGTTTTGTCCTGTCAGCTCTGCTGAAGTCTCCCTTTGAGCTCATTTGGGATATTCCCTTGGCTGACCCTACTCGTACAGTGTTTTCTCATAGCTATCATGTCAGTGAGATGGGTTTCAGAAGTGGCAGCCTTATCCTGTAAGGAACCCTTCCACACTATTCATAAAGGCAAGGTGGTTTTTAGACCCCAGGCCTTCTTACTTCCTAAGATGGTTTCCTCCTTGTACCTTAATCAGGACACCATCCTACCCAATCTGTACCTTGATCCTAAGCCCCCGAAAGAGGCATCTCTACATTGCTTAAATGTTATACGCGTAGTGCAAATGTGGAATTCTGGTAGGGGGATCTTGCTGTTGGATTATCAAAGACGTAAAAAAAGCAGGGCTGCTCAACCCACCAGGCTCCATATTTAATCTAAACATTCCTTTTGGGTGTACTTACCCTTTAAGACTAAAGAAACTGCAGGCTGAAGCATAGAAAATCAAGTATTTTAAATGGTTACTGACAGTGTTTTTCAAGTCTAAAAACAATTGTTTTTCCTTGACTTTAATGGTGCCATTAAACTTGATAGATCCTTTGACTACTGCAGGAAGAGTAAATTCCATAGCACAGCCCCTTTCCTCCTTGCATGTTTTAGCCCTCTCCTCTTCCGGGAGGGCCTAGTTACTGTCTGTGCTGACCCAACTCCTCTGACGCTCCCCTCTTCTCCCTACTTCTCCTTACATAACCTTCTATATAGCAACTGGGGTAGGAGGGAAAGAGAATACTATAGAGTGTCACTTGAATGGGTCTCCTGGGGCTGCTGATATCACATCCAAGATGGTGGCTCCCAGCATCAGTCTCCGGGGCTTTCGGGTGTCTACACAAGGGAGGCTTTTACAGGTAATTAACAAGCATAAAAAATTGTAAATGCACATGTAATCTTACGGGAAGATTGTTGTTGAAATTAATGGTCTGGCGGCAAAGCCTCGAAAAGTATGTCTGTCATTTTGCTTGTGACATACATCATTATTTTAAATACTGTATTTTTTCTACAACTAGGTGACACATCACAGACAATGGATTATGCTGGAGTCCCTCTCATATCAAACAGAGTGTGTAATACAAAATACATCTACGGGGGAGTTATAAAGCCGTCTATGCTGTGCGCCGGCTTCCTGGAAGGTGGAGTTGACACCTGTCAGGTACATTATAATTTATTTATAAGATTTAAGATTGATACTTATACTCAGAATGATAAGTCTTATAACTGCATCCACCCTGCTTATCAAATGTCTGTAGTTTGCTCAGCATTGCAATCAGTCTGCCTCACCAGCTGTGCTTAAAGGAAAATCGCTGAAAAAAAGTTAACATAAAAAAACAAGCCTTGTAATACTCTTTGAAAAAATTCCCCTCTGCCACTAGAGATCTCCAGTCTTCTGGGATGAATGACAACTAGGGCCGTTAAACCCACTTCCTTTTAATTAGGGCAAGGATGTCCTGGAAATACCCACCGGATGGGTGTCAACATATTGGCCTGGGCTCACGGTACTATTTGAATGGTACTAATGAAGGAAGACCGAGAGCTGTGCCCACAGATTCAGAGGGTACACGATGCCCACACAGACACAGACAACGGTTTCTTTTAAAACAATTACGTTTACTGAACAGTTATAGTGATCATGTAGCTGAGCATACAGAATGATAACAGCGCATAACCATACAGTAAGAATAATACTGTCTAACACTAACCCCGTACTTGCGGACTTTTCCCCAATGTCCAGAAAGCAGCCTGGCTGCGCCTGAATGTTCCTGAGCAAGATATAACGTTGGGGTGCACCCTAAGTATTGTGCAATACTATTTGTAATCCAAAGGAAAGTGGAGTGTGTCTCTTGTAACTTTCTGGTATATCCAAAATGTCACTGACCACGTGTGGTGCGATGTGCTGCAGCAAAGCCGCACTTACAGTTCCCTGGCAGGCTCTTGGTGCTTTGTCCTGATCCACTCCAGAACCGGACCATACAGTCACTTGTTTCCTGGTCTCGTTGTGGTGAATCTTCCCTAGGTGCCGTCGCCAGATTCCACTGTGAGCCGTAAATCCTCTTCCAGGCCCCACACAGATTCTCCAGATGTCCTCAGCATACATCAGCCAGACCCAGACTCCCTGTCACTTCCTCCTCTGCACCGGAACTCCTCCCCTTCCCATAGAGTCATAGAGTTTGTGATGCAGTAAGTCATTTCTTAATTGCAGCCTCAAACCTGCATTTACAGTTCACTATGACCCTTCTGAGGGTTCTACTCAGCCCTTAAATTAGTATTCATTAAACTTTATAGGGTAAATAAGCATTTATCTTGTCTTAGCAAAAGTCACTGCAAAATCGATTCTTGTACTTTGCTGCCATCTACTGACCAAAGAGCATATTGCAGGCATATTACAGTTTAACATTACACACCAGTATTTCATGCCTCCACACCCTTACACTTACATATAATTGCATGACACTGGATTGGGAAGAAGAACCTTGGTATGTACTGTATGTATATATGTTGTAAGGTGGACAGTCTCAACTGGTATGAGCAGCGAAAAACCATTCATGAGAGAGGGACACCCAGGAAAAGTCCAGGCAGGTGTGTCCTGCACTTTTATTCAGCAAGGCAGTACACAGTTGAATGCATCGTGGTCCCATCCCAAAAGGAATGACCTCTCCCTGACAGGGGGGCAAGGTGCACTCAGGTCCACCTATTCAAAAGGTCAGGTGGACCCCTGTCCTCATGATAAGCCAAGGCTAACCAACAAATACTAAGTGGGGTGCTCTCCCAAAGTGAGGGGAGGAAAATCCTATTGGCTATGCATCCTCCATCTTAACTTTAGGGTGGGCCCAGGGACCCACACTGTACAATCCTTGAAAGAAAGGTGACATTAAAATAAGTGCAGTATCAAAACAGTGAAAGAAAATAAATAAATAAAGGCGCCAAAGTGTAAGACAATGGCTAGGCCTTGTGGCCAGGTCCATGGATCAAGTGCAGAAAAATATGTTTGGTGCCATAGCCGAATGCAGTTTCATGCAGTGGGGTCCCAAATCCATAGTGTTACTCCGACACCCCCACAGAGCCACTCCCAATGGGGTCCTTGACACCCTGGGTCCTCTGCCTTTTCAGCCCTCAGCCAGACAAGGTAGCATAGAAGCACAGAAGGCACTGGGTCCCTTTGAACCCTCCACACTGGGGAAGTACTACCAACCCACACCTTACCCAGTGGGCATTCAATGTGAATTCCTTCCCATGAGGAAGATCCTTCAGTACCTGTATCATTCAGTCAGGGATCACAGCCAAAAAGGCCAGAATGATGACAGAGCACCCCCCCTGAACACTGATAAGAACAGATATTATACTTGATAATAGAGAGGCGACATCCTGGTGCCAGTTTATACAGAAGCCAATGAACCTACCAGCATTTCTTTGAAGTGTGTAAGGAAACCCACACAAGCACAGAGAGCACATAGCAAGGTGCTAACCACTAGGTCACTATGCTGTTGATAAATAACGACATCTGGCTACTAGGTAAGATGTGGACCTAAGAAATTGAGACTTTATCCCACCTAAAGCTCTACTATGCCTCCAGACTATAGGTCCCAGAGCAAAATGTTGTTTTTCTCCAATATATTATGGGATCCCAGCCAATCCCTGGGAAGGTGCACCCAGTAGGTGACTGAGGAGCCCATAAATAGTTGGGGCCTGGAGCAAGAGCTATTATTATTATTATTACATCGAGTTTATATAGCGCCAAAGGGTTTGCTCAGCGCTGTACAATAGGGGGACAATACATGGCACAGTACAACAAAAGTTAAGAGTTAAGTTGGTCCTGAATCCAATCCTGAAGGAGGCATCCATAGCCTGAGGGGGCTCTGCCCCAAGGGCAGTTTGCTGGAATGCTGCCATTTGCTCAACAAAGTCTCAGCTGTAGCAGAGCTGGGGGGCCTATTTGAAGGGTTTCTTTTGGGGTTCTGTTCTGGAGAGCTCACTGAAGGGTGCTGGTGGAAGTTGGTAGGGGGTGTCCAGAACACAGACTACTCATGTTGCAGGCCTTTGTCCCTGGGTGTATACAGCCATAAATGTTGGTGCCTCTCGGTGTACTGTCCAGTCATGTCCAGCAGTATCTTTTAGCCTCATTTCTGTCACCCAAACTTCAGGATTGCATGTACAGGGGCTAAATGCCCAGTGTGCTTGAGGCCTAAGAACTTAATGCAAGTTGCAGGAGATTTTCATGTTAGTAAGAAGCATGTTAGAAAAAGACCTATGCTGCCTGAGAATTTTGTGTTAGAGATCAATACATGTTATAAGAGACTGTCACATTAGAGAGACATGCCTGTAACAAGACATCTCTGTTTACTCTCATCTTATCACTTGCTTTAGGGGGATAGTGGTGGCCCTTTGGCATGTGAAGACAGGAAAGTATGGAAGTTGATGGGGACAACAAGCTGGGGTGTTGGCTGTGCTCTGAGATATAAACCTGGAGTGTATACCCGAATCACATCCTTCCTAGACTGGATACATACACAGATGGAGGTAACTACCCTAGCATTTCTGCCCTACCTTTCTACCTATCCACCCTACCTTTCCAGCATTGTTGACTTTATATACAATGGTAATTTTCTATGCAGCTTATATGTTATACATTTTGCTTAACATGCCTCACACTTGATACCGCACTCCACTGTTGGACAAGTCCAAGGTTTTCCTTTTTTTTTAGATCTACGTTTATACTTTGTACTATGTTTTAAATAGACCTCAATGGCATGACCCAAAGTAGTATAGCAAGAGTGACAATCCAGGTGTAGTTATTGAAATCTAAATTGAAAACATTTGTGGTCAAACTTTTTAATGAGTATAGCTAAACAATATATATACACTATCTCCTGGGGCAGAAGTCTGGGAGGTAGCCAGCCTGATGACACCAAGGTCCCAGCTAGGCTTAGCTGGGAGGCCTATTTGCAAGTTCAGTCCAAGGTATAGTTGGGTCTGGAGAAGCTCACCGGAGAGAGCCAGGAGGAAGCTGTGGAAGAGAGCACAAGTTGTCCAGTGACAGTGGGAATCTACATCTCCTTCACTAAGAAGAGGCTGGTGGATATCAGCAGGAGGCAACCGATGATTCTGTGGCCAAAATTTGTGCACACAAGTTTCACTCCGGATTCCCATATTGGATTGTATCTGGAAATGTGTTAATGCTTGGTGAAAGTAGTGTGATTCTTGTGTGAATACACATAATTACAGCCCATGGTGTATTCATTCTCATAATCTGTATTAATGGAAGTTCAGTTTTACCACAAGCTAAGTAGACCCTTGCAACTACCACCACTTCAGATCCATGGAATTAGAATCCATTACAAATTAGGTGCCAATGATTAGAACCTCCTTAGAAGGTATGCGGGTGGAACCTGTCTTTTTTAAACCTCAGATATCTACGTTCTGGTGTTCTATTTGCTATTGATGTGTGTGGTGTCAACATGCCAAGATCAATAGAGATCTCTAAGGCCTGTAGAAGAAAGTTGCAAATCTCTATGGGTCTGGCAAGCGATTTTTTAACATTGCCAAATTATTTGAAATCAATCATTCCACTGTAACGGAAAAAAATCTACAAATGTAGAAGTGTCAGGGATGCGGGTGTGACCAGAAGTGTGTGGACTGACACAGGGAAACGTAGGCCTCAGATATAGTAAATAATATAATTTATTGAGACTAACAATACAAATATAAACGCAGTGCACCAAACCCCAAGCTAACACAAATACATACAACAAGGTGAAACAAACCCAAACCTAAACTGATATAGATACACAGGTACATACACATATAGAGCACAACGTAGTCAGGCAGGCTGGGTCGATAACTATCGGGCAGGTAGGTACAGGAGGAGCAGGCGGAGAGAATGGTCAGGGTCACAAGCCAGGGATCAAACAGGAGAAGTCAGCAGAGGTCAGGATCAGGCAGGGTCGGCAACAAGTCAGGCAGAAACAGGAACAGGAACGCAGGTTACAAGATACAGGGGCCCATGGAAAAACACACACCAAGGCACAGACTGTGGGTCTGGCCATCCCTTAAATACACCACCTGCAATCAGCCCCAGGTGATGGCTAATTGCCGAAGTGAACCTCTGGTTGTTGAGAGCACCCGCTGGCCAGCCCTGGTACTGCAGCCCACAAGGCAGGTGAGTCCCACCACTATTGGCAAGTCCATTCCTGACAAGAAGATTTCAGATCACTGCTAATTTATTCAGGATTGGTGAACTCTACAAATTCAACCCTAGATCTGACCTTTGAAGTAAAAAAAATAGGGTCTCCAAGAACTCCAAAATATCATCACCAGATCTGCAGGTGTCAAAAGATCTTCTTGATGTCAAAAGGCATGCATCTACAATCAGAAAGCGATTGCATCAATATCATCTGTTTGGGAGGTCTGCAAGGGAAAAAGATTTGCTCGAGAACAAAACATCAGAGCAAGATTACAGTTTGTCAGTGAACATATGTTGTGATTGTAGCACTCTCCTAAATAGGTTGTAAAAAAAATTAGGCAAATTTAGTTTTTTTTGGCTCTCCTGTAGTCAGTGGAACGGTGTGTGATTATTTTGGCCTGTTCTAAACTTCACTGACTGCTTCCCCCTGCCTTCTGGTCTATTCTTGAATCTAGTGGGCTGGAAGAGGTAGCTCCACAGCCTGAATATTTATGTGGTCTTGGCCTTTTCCTTGGGGGCGGGTGCTAAGGAGGTGCCTGAGGAGTGTATAAACAGTCTGGAGCGTGAGGCAGCCCAGTTCTTGTCTGGCTGTAGTTCAGTATAGCTGAAGGTCTTATAGGAGCTCATTGAATTCCCAACTAAGATAGAGTTGGGGGGGGGGGGGGGGGTGGCAGGACTATTTTTCTGAGAATAGCTGGAATTGATCAACCTGGTCTGAAGAGGTTATGGGAGAAATGAAATAAGTCTGTCTGATATTGGAAGGAGCCATCGACGTATCCAGGGACATTGTGAGTACAGACCTAAGCGAAGAATCCTAGTGACTGTTTGCTTCTACTATCCCAGCTCAGTGCTGCTCATTCCAATAGTTGCTATTAAGAATCTTTGATAAAGTGAAGAGTGTCCTCTTATGATTGCATTGTGTTGTTGGAGTATCCCACAGCTCCCGGCACCCTATCCAAGTTCATCTTACAATAAAGCATCAAAAAAAGTATCCCCCTAGACCAGCAATGGGCAAACTACGGCCCGGCGGACCTTTTAATCCGGCCCGCGGATGTGGCTGTCAGGATGTGTGTAGGCGGGGCAGCGTGACGAACGTGAGGGGAGGGGAGCTAGGCTCCTCTCACAGTCCGCCCTGAAGACCGGAACGGCGCGGGAACACGGCGAGAGGAACGCGCGGAGCAAAGGTAAGTGAATTGACACAGGGGGGACTTGGCTTACTACTTGGGGGGGGAATAGTACTGTGGGGGATGAAATACTATATGAGGGATGAATTAATATGGGGGATGAATTAATATGGGGAATGAATTACTATAGGGGGGTTGAATTACTATAGGGGGGATGAATTACTATATGGGGGATGAATTACTATGGGGGATGAATTACTATATGGGGGATGAATTACTATGGGGGATGAATTACTATGGGGGATGAATTACTATGGGGGATGAATTACTATATGGGGGATGAATTACTATGGGGGATGAATTACTATAGGGGGGATGAATTACTATGGGGGATGAATTACTATATGGGGGATGAATTACTATATGGGGGATGAATTACTATTACTACTATGGGGGATGAATTACTATGGGGGATAAATTACTATATGGGGGATGAATTACTATATGGGGGATGAATTACTATATGGGGGATGAATTACTATGGGGGATGAATTACTATATGGGGGATGAATTACTATATGGGGGATGAATTACTATATGGGGGATTAATTACTATTTTTACTATGGGGGAATATTACTATACTTACTATGGATGACACATACACATCATTCATCTACTCTTGGTCCGGCCCCCGGGTCCAATATATGAACCCATTGCGGCCCTCAAGTCAAAAAGTTTGCCCACTCCTGCCCTAGACTGTTCATTGAGCCAGAAGAATAATTATTACTGTGTGGTTGGCTGCCACTGTACTAGCTTGGGAAACAAACCTGGGGCATAACAGCAGGTGCTTTCATAAGTGAGCGCTACATGATAATGTGCTGTGGACTGATGAATCAAAGAAAGAGTTGTTTGGCTACAGTAACAGTAGACATGTTGGGCACAAAAGATTTCAGGAGAAGAACCTAATACCAACTGTGAAGCATGATGGTGGACAGTTATGCTTCTGCCCAAAACCTGTAGGGCCTGGGCTGGGCAGCTCAAAGTCAGCAAGTCAACAATCCATTCTGCATTTTATCAAAGTGTGCTTGAAGAGAATGTGAGACTATCTGTCCAAAAATTGTAGATGATTGAAAATACAGTTTTCAACTAGAAAATGATCTGAAGCACACTAGAAAATCCACCAAGGAATAGCTCAAAAGGAAGAAATAGAACATAGTTAGTCTGGCTGAAAAAAAGACAAAAGTCCATCCAGCTCAACCATATAAAAAAAAAAGTTATAATCCTATAACCATAGTTGGTCCAGAGGAAGGCAAAAAACCAAGCAAAGCATGGTCCAATTTGCTCCTGCAGAGAAAAAATTACTTCCTGATCCCCCGAGAGGCAATCGGATATTCCCTGGATCAACTTTACCTATAAATGTTATATCCAGTTATATTCTGTGTATCTAAGAAAGCACCAGGCCTTTTTTAAAGCAATCTACTGAGCTGGCCAGAACCAACTCTTGAGGGAGTCTATTCCACATGTTCACAGCTCTTACTGTAAAGAAACCTTTCAGTGTTTGGAGATTACATTTCTTTTCCTCCAGACGTAAAGAGTGCCCCCTTGTCCTCTGTGATGACCTCAGGGGGAATGACTCTACACCGAGTTCACTATATGAACCACTGATGTATTTATACATGGAGATCATATCCCCCCCTTATGTATTATACATGGAGATCATATCCCCCCTTATGTATTATACATGGTGATCATATCCCCCCTTATGTATTATACATGGTGATCATATCCCCCCTTATGTATTATACATGGAGATCATATCCCCTCCTTATGTATACATGGAGATCATATCCCCCCTTATGTATTATACATGGAGATCATATCCCCCCCTTATGTATTATACATGGAGATCATCCCCCCTTATGTATTATACATGGAGATCATATCCCCCCTTATGTATTATACATGGAGATCATATCCCCCCTTATGTATTATACATGGAGATCATATCCCCCCTTATATATTATACATGGAGATCATATCCCCCTTATGTATTATACATGGAGATCATATCCCCCCTTATGTATTATACATGGAGATCATATCCCCCCTTATGTATTATACATTCATATCCCCCCTTATGTATTATACACGGAGATCATATCCCCCCTTATGTATTATACATGGAGATCATATCCCCCTTATGTATTATACA